GGTCGTTACATTGCCACTGGATCGTTATTTCGCTTACTTTACCCAGTAGTTAAAATGCACATTTTCTGTCTTTCCTAGACCATTCATCTTCAATTGTCCCGGCAGCCAATAAGGCAGAATAAATAAGGATCATCAGAAAGTTGTAGAGTTTAAGGTTTTCTATCATTATGCAAAATCTACATCTTCATTAATCACTTTTTTTCCTTAATGAATTTGGGGACTAGTGTTTCTGTTGCTAAGTACTCAAAGGAGTTATTAAATCTCTGGCTGTCTGGTTCCCCCATCTGTTTCCATAAAAATTTACTGCAATTAGTATTTCAGCAAAATTCCTAAAACCTGCCAGATTTCTTAAGAACAGGGACTGCTACTGTAAGCATGAGGGGGAGCTTATGGTGTCTGAGTGGCAAAAATTTATCTAAAATCCACATTAAACCAGCCTTCCCTGTAGTTTACAGGAAGGTTAAGGCAGCAAAAGGGAGACTGACAGAATGAGGAGAGACTGGAAAAACTGCTGCCCATCCAGGTCCAGCTGTCTGCTGCTGGTTAGGTGTTAGAATAATATTAAACTAATTTTCATTTTTCTGAAGGAGGCAACTCCAGAAGCACCATTATGTACCTGCTTAGTATCAAATTCAAGGGATCCCTGAGTCTTTATGTTCACTATATTTATGCCAAGATAAATTTCCATCTGCTTTTAAGAACAGTGGGACGGGCCCCGTTTCTCAGGAAGGAAGGGTTGCAGGGTGTTGTCTGAGCTGAAGCAAAAACGATGATCCAAGAAGGGCTGACTGACTGGAAGGGCTTGGATCCGATGTGCCTGAATTGCCCAGGAGGAAGATAATAAACAGAATGAGGAGAGCAATTGCTTTAATAAATAAACTGGAACATGTGTGCGACTGATACCGCCAGGGGCTGATATATGCCAAGAAGTCTGTTTTTAACATCTGCTCTTCAGCAGCCTTAATACGTTATGACCAGATCAATATATCTTCTGCTGCTGGTGTCAGACGTCCTATAGGAGCTAGAGGCTGGGGAGGGAAATACACGTGAACAAACATATAGAAATGCATACATAGACCCATACAGACATTTTTGTACATGTGCATTGATGTACCAGGGGAAGGATTAATAATGTGAAATAGATTCAAAATGGTGCTTAAGTAACCCTGGAATACTGTGTTTAGTTTTGGTCTCTGCAATACAAAAAAAGCTGTGGACAGGCTGGAGGGGGTCCAGGGAAGAGCCACAAAGATGATCAAAGGACCAGGAAACCTGCTGTATGGGGAAAGGCTGAGAGAATTGGGTTTTGTCAGCTTTGAGAAAAGAAGGCTTAGGGGAGACCTTATCACCATGTTCTGGTACTTAAAGGGTGGCTACAAAGAAGATGGAGAGTCATCTGGAAAAGACGAGTGGTAATGGGTACAAGTTACTCCTGGGGAGATTCCGATGGGACATGAGGAAAATGTTTCACAATGAGAACAATCAGCCATTGGAATAATCTCCCCAGGGAAGTGGTGGATTCCCCATCACTGGACACTTTTAAGATTCAGCCGGACAGGGTGCTGGGCCATCTTGTCTAGATCGTGCTTTTGCCAGGAGAGGTTGGGCCAGATGATCCTTAAGGTCCCTTCCAACCTGGTATTCCATGATTCTATGACAAAGAAAACTCAGCCGCCAATTTTCATTCCCTATGATCTCTCCTTTTTTTGCGAAGCATAAGCTAGAGGATTGCTATGTTGTTGGCAGCTCATATCCCGCTCAATACATCCATAGATGCAATATGTTCTTTATACTATAATTAAAAGGCTTTTCATCTCTTGCCAAGGCTTTTATGTGCTGCAAAGGCTGAGGGAAGCAGGTGAGGTGCTGTAGGCATAATGGTCATTTTTAAAAGCAGTCTTACCAGCCTGCAGCCATGGGCAGGGAAAGGCAGAGAAAGAGAGGAGCAGGGAATGAAAAAGGAGATGAAAGGAGGAGCTGAGTGAGAACCCAGTGGTCATGAAGCTGTTCTGGCACTGGCAGAAGCACAGACACAACTGTCTATTCTCTCCTCTGCTACAGGGTATTGTACCCACAGTGCCTGGGAAAAGCACCACGTGGCTGCTCCTCAGCCTCCCCAGCTTGCCCTCCAGCCACTGAGCTTTAGCCACAGCTGGAAGCAGCCTTGGGAGAAGGTACAGGACCATGAATGAGCTGAAAGCAGGGTTAATCGAAGGTATGGGGCCACAAACATCCATCGTTCAGGTGACACCAGACACTTCCTTTGCCTGTGCTGGGTTTCTCTGCTCAGCCCATCTTCTTCACTTGCAGTGGAGATGCTGGGGAGGTCCCGCAGCGTTTCCTCACAAGGAAGAAAGGACATGAGAAAACAGATCTCTTGCTTCACTCAACTTACTCTGTGAGCTCAGGGGGAGTCCATTGAAGGACTTATCACAAAGATTAATGTTTGGCCTGCGGCGTTAAGCAGAACTTGTTCATTTCAGACAGGACAGTGGCTTGGAAGAATAGGAGGTTATGACCTCTCTAATGCAGCAGCAGTTCTTCTGACAGAAGGTGATAAATAAAAGAGTCGCTGCCACAGAGTGTATCTGAAAGCTTTGCACTGAACAATGTGAAAAATGCTTGCTATGACCCCAAGAACCTTTACATAAAGAGACCTCCTGGGCACATGGGGGAATAAGGTCTCATTTTAAGTGCTGCCATCAGTGGGTTGTATGGGGATAGCAGTAACTCTAAAAGCATGCTTCATTTACTGCAGATGTCTGATTTTTCCCTCAATATTGCTCCAAAGTACCTAATTTGATGACAGATGTGGACTTGGAAACTGAGGGACTTTCAGCTTTTGTGTTTGTTTAGCCACTTGCCACAACACCAGCTGGAAACGCTAGATTTCAGGTCATTTTTATTTCTGTCTAAATAGCACGGTTCTTTCAGAAAGCCAGGTACTCTGCTGGGTGTTACTGTAATAACTGCTCACAATCCAGTCTTCACTATATTACAACTTAAATATGTAACTGTGGCTCCTGCTTCTTCCAGGAATCAGAACCAAAGTTTTCAGGAATAATTCCTAGGACAGCAAACTGGCTTGCCTTAGGCTTCATGCATATTGTGGGCTTTGGAGGAAAGGTGGTCAGACAGCCACGCTGGGGACAGTTGTGCTGGTAATTTCAAAGAAGACCACTTGTTTGATCATGTCCTGATATGAAACCAAGAAGTGATGCTTGATAAACACAACAAAGCCTAACTTAAAATGAAGTACTCATAACCTGCCAGTTTATTGTGGAAATTCTAAGTGAGGACCACAAAACCAAGGAGCTGCCTTAAAAATCAAAGGAGGCTGAGAAATATAATACATTCAGTTTCTTTCTATTTTTGCCTGCAGAGCTTTGTGCTTTTCACTCAAATGAAAATGAAGACTAAATTAAATGAAGACTGCTTTAACATCGCCTGTCTCTGGGGACCGAGGCAGCCCAGAAAAAAATTACAGCATTGCAGGAGAGCTGTAATAAATTTGCTGGAGTTGGCAACTCCACTTTGATGTCAATCACTGCGCTGCTGAAGGCAGACGTTGCCGGCCAGGACATCATGGTACTTCCCACCTGCAAACACCCTTAGCAGTTTGATGAAGAGCTGAGGTGCCTGAAGGCGGTTACTGATGCTGAGAACGTGAAACGTGAAGCATCATCACATCCTCTGCTGTGACATCCAAAGTCTTCCCAAGTGATGCGTTCGCAGCCAAGGAAATCTTGAATTGAAGCCTGCCAATTTTCCGGCTCCGCATGTACTAGAGTGCTCTCCAACATTTGCCCCTTCTCCCTCCCCTGGAATCGTATTTCCTGTAATTTCAAGTGTGGTTTCCTGCTGGGTGAGGATTATGTGAGGACCCTGTGCCAAAATCCTCTGTGCAACTTTTGAAACCACTGTGGATTTGAATGCCCTTTGTGGAGATGGGGTAAAGGCCTCAGAGACACAAATACAAAAAACAGAGCCTGAGAAGAGAAGGCTCCAGGAAGACCTTATAATGGCCTTCCAGTAGCTGAAGAGAGCCTACAGGAGAGACGGGGAGGGACTCTTTGTAGGGAGTGTAGTGATAGGATGAGAGGTAACGGTTTTAAACTGAAAGAGGTGAGATTTATGTTAGATATTAAGAAGAAATTCTTTCCTGTGAGGGTGGCGAGACACTGGAACGGGTTGCCCAGGAAAGCTGTGGATGCCCCATCCCTGGAGGGGTTCAAGGCCAGGCTGGATGGGGCTTGGAGCAACCTGGTCTGGTGGGAGGTGTCCCTGCCCAGGGCAGGGGGATTGAAAGTAGATGATCTTTAAGTCTCTTCCAACCTAAACCATTCTATGATTCTGAAGAGATGTGAGTGAAAAATGGCATTTTCCCTCCAGGGAGAGCAAACATGCTTCCCAGAAACTGGCAGCAGAGATGACCCTGGTCAGGAGGATTCATTGGTTTCCCTGTGCATTGCTCCGATCTGCTCTTCACAGGGATGGCCCATGGAAAGTCTCCACAGGACGGCGTGACCAGCACCATCCACTGGGTGCCTGCGCTGCTGTCATGAACTGAGGAATAAACCCCAAGTGACTTCAGAAGCGTTTTCCCCTCTAAACGCCTTTTTTTTTTTTTTTTTTCAATGGCGTAGGTTTTGCTTTCTAACTGGACTACAGTCACAGGTGGAGTGATGCCCAGTAGCCACCACAGCAGCCACCAGCACCTCAGGCCCACACCTCGGGGGCAGCAGGAAGCGCCTCTCCCCCTCCTCCTCCCTCTTTTTCTGGAGCAGCACGGCTGCTAGCGCACCGCAAATCGCTATTAAGTAAGAACTAATTAAGGTTTAGTGTTAATGGGCACCGCTATCGCTCCACCGCTACCCTGAGGGCCCTCTGAAGGCAGAAGGAAGGGGGGCGTCTCCAGGGGCGGTGTGGTGGCCCGCCGTGCGCATGCGCGGCAGCCTGGCGCAGGCGCCGTGACGGCGCGCTCCCGCCTGACCGCGGGTCAGGGGCAACAACATGGCTGCGCCCATGTGCACGCTGGGGACGCGGTTCTGACACGGTTCTAGTCCTGCCCGGTGGTGTGGGGAGTCGGGCTGCGCCGTGTCCGTGCAGCCTCCCCCTATCGCCACCCCTGCATGGAGCCGCGGGAGTCCTGGGCGGCCTTGGCGGTGAGTGAGCGGGGGCCGCGCCTGCCCGTTGCCAAGGCGACGCGGCGACCTCGTCTTACCGGTCCCACACCGCGCTGAGGGGCGGCGGGAGGGCGCTTCGGTTCGTCTCTCCTTGGTTTCCACAGCCGCCCCCGGGCGGGGGTGTCGGTGCCGGAGAGAGGCGCCCTGGGTCTCCCCAGGCCCGGCTTTCGCTGCTGTGTGTGTGCACTGCGAAGCCTGTGCTTTGCGCTGCATTTCTTGCCCTAAAAGCTGCTTTTCAACGTGTACCCGCAGGAGCGGGTAAAGCCCCCATTCTCCAGAGCTAGGCACCGTGTTGGAAATACCTAGCACTCCTCTCAGCTCCCTGTGGAAAATCATGGCCTGGCTGCCCCGGGGTAGAGTGAGGAGAGCTGCGGGCCTGGGCCGGCTGTAGAGTTCAGCTCCCTGCCCCAAACACTCCGCAAGATCATGGTCCAATGTGTTAGAGTTAAATCCTGGTTTTGTTTAATCGTTTTGATGGAGTTTAGCTTACCGGGTATATCCAACTCCTGGTAAAGGTTTTTCGGCTGTTTGACTTATAATAATGCTGCTGTTAGTGAAAGGTGGGGGGCAAGGTGTGTTTTAGTTGTCTTATTATCGAAAAATCATTACTGTTTTCTGCAGATGGCGTAAGAGCACAGGTATTGTCGCCCTCTGGCAGGTGCTCTATTAGCTGCTTCATGAATTTAAATGACATCTAATATACAGAACTTCGAAAACTGAAGAAGCAATTAGTAACTTTTGATTCACGTTTTAACAGATGGGTAGATTAAATCTGATCAATGTTATTTTCAGCAGATAAGGATTTTGATGAAAAAGAGCGAAGAACAATCAATACATGCAAAATAGCCAAATAGATTAAAAGAGTAATTAACTTATTGATTAAAACTTTAGTAGTAGGTTCTGAACACCTCTCTGAATCCTCTGTTGGCCCTGAAAAAAAAATTGAGTAACACATGATTTGTTTTCAGGCAAAGTTAAAAATCTGTGCAGCTGTTTCTTGTGTGATGCTCAAGATGAGATAGACTTCAAACTATTTTCTCCTGTTTTGAAAACCAGTGTATCTGAATAATGTTTCATAATAGATTAATGCTAACTATTGATATTTGTTTCTTTTTCTTTTGTTTTGAAATTAGTTTTTCCTATTTGTTTCAGTCTCTTCCTCCTCTTTTTGACAAGTAATTAATTTCTACAGATCAGCCATGTCTTGGGGAACCTTTTTTTTAAAAAATAAAGTCATCTGGAAGCACTGGCACTGGAAAAAGATTGCACTTTAGTTGAAATGACTTTCAACTAAAACTTCCCATTTTCCTTATGACTTTGAAAACATCTTTCTTTAATATATTTTTTTTTCCCCTGTAGGATTTTGTCAGCAAAAGAAAATAAAGCAGTTTTATTTTTGGTTTTGTTCAACAAAACAAATGAAGGGCTAACACTTTAAATGAAGACGTTTGCTAGGAAAATGTGAATATGCTCTCTGGAGGTGCTTGCAGGGGAAGCAGAATTGCTTCTGTCTTTTCCTGATCTTATCACACGACTTCCCAGAGGTGTCGGTCATTCTGTGCTGTGTCATTTTGATAAGTGGCATTCACTGTCTTGCTTTTATGTGTAGTGGGTAGTTATTGAATTGCTTTGCTTGTACTATTCAAAACACTGAGGTTGTTTTGAAAATACCTTAAAAGTGGTTTAAAAGTTGTAATATCTATTATTTTCTTCCTTTTGTTGAAGCTTCCTTGTCAAAGCTATAGAAGCTATTGGGGTCTGTGTAGCTGTCAGTTTATAATTTGACATCAGAAAGGATATGGTCAGTAGTGCTTTGTTTTAGGCATGTGCCTCAGTTACTCACATAAATAAACATCTGTCAGTTTATAATTTGACATCAGAAAGGATATGGTCAGTAGTGCTTTGTTTTAGGCATGTGCCTCAGTTACTCACGTAAACACCACAGCTTCACCCCTATGAATAATAATGCACTATACTCCATGGTTTTGTCTTGAAGGCTGGTGGTGTTGCTGGCGTCTGCGTTGATTTGATCCTTTTTCCACTGGATACTGTAAAAACAAGACTGCAGAGTCCCCAAGGATTTAGGAAGGCTGGTGGTTTTCGTGGCATCTATGCTGGTGTTCCTTCCACTGCTATAGGATCCTTTCCAAATGGTAAACTTTCTTTGGATTGTGCTTTGTCTTGTTTCAGTGGGAACTTGTGTGGTATAGGACATCTGTGTCTGTGGCGTCCTCTCCTGTAGGTGACTGGATTCTGTGAGTCCACCTCTAACTGTGAAGAGCAGTTTCTAGAATTGTACCATATTAAAGAAACTCTTTGAGCAAAGCTGGAATGAAAGCTGCTGTATGTTTACTCTGAAAAGCAACCCTTACTTATTGGAAATGTTCCTGAATATGTCTTCTAAGCTTGTCCTTTACTTGCAGGGGCAGCCTAACACATTTCCAAGTGCCAAAGAGGGCTCGAGTCTTGCTTGCCCTCGATGCTTTTCGCATGACCCACTCTTTCATGGCGTTGGAAATGAATCAAAATTCAAAGTGCTTGAGCACTGGAGCTAGTTGCCTTTGGGATGCTATGCCCGTCTTTTTTGCCCTGAAAACAACTACATCACTTAAAATGAGAAGACATCAGGAATACTTTTGAAACTGAAACTTTAAAAAAGTAAATGCTTGTAGTCCCTGCAGAGTAAAGGCATCTAAAATTCCTAATGCCTTTATCCATTTTTGGCTTTGTAGGGAGGGATAAGAAAGTAGCAAGCTATGCTGTCAATAGTAAATGTTAGGAGAACTTTGCTGACAAATCCACTGACACCTTCAGATGTTTGATGTCCTTCATAAGATGATATAAAAAAAAATTCAGTTCTTTATCTTGTCTGCTCTGTTATCTCCTTTTGAGGCGATAAGCATCTTTTGATTAGCAGAAGGCAATTCACATAGCCCTTCTTTACAATTAAAATCTGTTCCCCCGCAAGACATGTCAGTTTTTTTCAGGATTTACATCTTCAAAATCTGAACTGTGGCTTTATCTTTCCAACGTATGACTGAGAACTGAAATTATCTTTTGGAGAAGGAGTAACCCTTAAGGTGCAAGTGCCTTTGTAGTTGACTGTTGTAGTGGATAAACACAGCCATGTTGATATGCTCAGTTTAGGCTTGTATGTTTCTTGTTCACTGGATGGGACTATTGTAAAGTCCTTTACAAGCTTGGAATATTTTTTTTATGGAGCTAAAATGCAAAATATTGACCTGCTGATAGCTAGGAAGAAGTTATTAATAACTGCCACTGAAACAGTTTTGCACATTGCAGAGTAGCAGACTTGTATCAGATACATTGATGATTTTGGGATATTGGTTGGTTGTTGTTTTGTTTGTTTGTTTGTTTGTTTGTTTTCTTTACAATTAATCAACTGTTTTGGGTTGGGTGTGGTGTGTTTTGTCTGGGTTTTTTTTTCCCTCACCCTAAAACAGCCCATCCGTACAATTCAACCAATCAATCTCCTCTCTACCCTTCCTATCAATGAATATGGAAGATACCATTTTTTTCAAAACCTGCTGTACATTCATGACTAATTAACACATCTTTCCTTATCTCGATACTAAAAATGTCCTTAAGTCCGGACACTTTTGATATTAATGGGAGATTTGCCAGTGACAGACAAGAGCATGAACTTCTGAAGGAGTTATCTCGCATATTGTGTTGATACTGTTTTGGGGTAAAATAACCTGTTTTCATAGATGTCAAAATCCACCTCTGAATGTTTTTGTGCTAGTTCTGTGATGGAGGAATAGTTAAATGACTGCATGTATTCTTGAATTTCAGCTGCTGCTTTTTTTATCACCTATGAGAATGTGAAATCCCTGTTGCACCATGACTCTACATCTTACTTGACTCCAGCAGCACACATGGTGGCTGCCTCCCTGGGGGAAGTGGTAAGAAAGAAGTTCGTGTATTGTGTGTCTGTGGGAGGAGAGGAAATCATTCAATTGTGAAAACTCAGGTTTGGTGTCATATCTTGCTTTTTTGAGTCTTGACTGTCTTTGTACTTGTGAACAGTTGTTACAAAAATGTTACTTATTTTTAATGAAGTGTTGGCACTTGTAAGGATTGTTTCAAAGCGAATGAGTTAGTAACAATTCTTGGTGGGCCTATTGGCTGCCCTTGCTAAGTCAGTAGGTAGCGGAAGTGTGCGCTGTTCCAAAACGTGAATACTCCTTCATATTGTAGTAGTTTTACTTCAAGAAAGGCTTTTACAGACTTTCAGCTTCATGTGGGGTGGCCGTGGCAAGGTCTTTTTATTTAAAAAATAGCCCTAAGACAATGATGTTATATGTAAAGTGGGTAGGTGCCATCAGCTGAAACACATGCACCTTGACGTGTAAGAACTAGTATTTACTAATTAATGTTTATCTCCCTCTCCTTCCCTCCTTACATTCATATTCAGCCAACGCCATTTACCAAAACATTTTATTGTATTTATAAACAGACTCTCCTAGTAGATGTACGAAATGAGGGGACAGCATAGGGCAGCTGTGTAACTTCACTTACCAAACGGTGTGTAATGCTTTCCTGGTGAGGCCAGTCTCAGTGGAAATTGTCATGGGAAATCTAATGAACCTTTTTCCCTTGAGCTGGATATCTGTATATTTTAGTGACAGCTTTTTGCATGGTCCGTCTTATAGCTCTAGTCCTTAGTTTAATATATTGGTCAGGTTATTATGGGATAAAGATATATGTGAATAATAAAAATAATTTCTGTATACAAGCTTTTTGAAAACTCTTTTCTGCACTTTTTGGGAAAGTTGCTGTGTTTCTTATCCATTAAATTCATTATTTTGTTTATAGCAGGTTCTGGTGCTGCAAGTAATGGCTTGTTTTTCCTTGGTTTATACCATACTCGGAATAATTGGGACCTTAATAATTGGGAACCAAATTCTGTTGAACACTTTAGATAATCATTAAGGAAGGTCACAACTGAAGATCTGTTTTGATGCCTAGTTTGCCCTTGCCTTGTTAGCAGCGTGGACTTTAAACCTGTTGAACTTAAGTAATGAAATATCTCTTGCCCTCATGACTTTCCAGTCCAGTGTATGTATATATATGTATAGTGAGAGAGGTCTGTCTAGGCTGTTTCCCAGCTTCTATTGACCAATCCCCAGCAATCTTTTTTTTTTTTTTTTTTTGAGAGAAGGAAAAGTTTTTAGTACTAAGGAGATGTCAAGGCTGTATTTGAAAGTGACTTTATTTTCCAGTTTAAGATTGTAAAATTAATTTCTTTGCCAACGTGCAATACCAGGATGACTGGGCAACCTGGAAATCCACAGAGTTGAAAGTTTAGCTCTGGGAAGAGCTAGTACGTGACAGTCTGTAACGGGAACTTCCTGCACAAATAGTCTGTAGCAAGTGTTGAAAGAGAACACTTCTTGATGTGATCAATGATGACATATTTGTCTAGAGGTAAATACTGTAGACGTTTTATCCACACACGTTATATTAGAAATCTGAATATTGTGATTTTAAACACTCTTTACTTGCAAAGAAAAAGAGCAACGTTGCTTTGGATTAGCTGAATCGAATATATTCTAGGTTTAGCAAAATCCTTCTTTCACCAGATACTCCTCCTGTTTTTAACTGCAGAGTTGGCACAGTGTCTTGGCAGTTTTTGGGGCTGAGTGTGCAGCTGTAGACATCCCATTGCTGCTCTGCCAGTGTTGTCCACCTCCTTTCTCCTGCTTTTGTCACAGTGGGTGTTTTCTGGCACTGCAGTGATGATACAGGGGAGCGAATTGCTGTGTCTCCACAAGTTTGGGGCAAGTAAATGGGCTGTACAAAACTAGCTTTTCTGGCTCTTTTGCAACTCAAACTTAGCCCTTGATGTGGGGCAGAAAAGCGTATTTTGTCTGTGGTTCCATATTCTGCTTTTATTAACTGAGTTTTTTCATCTCGTGACACTGGCTTCTTTCTTTCCATTATGGATAGCTGTGTATTTCTACTCATCTGTGGTGGCTTAGCTTACTTGTAGGTTGATCCCAAGCTACCAGGGTTGCAGAGGGTTCTATACTGTTTGAGCTTAGCACCAGGTGCCTCCCTAAGACAGCATCATACCTAGCTACTTCCCACGGGAAGCAGTTCAGCTCTCCCTCCTCTCTGTGGTTTCAGCTTTGGTTCCCAAATATTTTTTCTTCTCTGTGGAGATGATACCAATTAGATTGAATGGGGCTTAGCCAGGGAACTTAATTTAACATACCAAGCACATGAAGATAGGGGAACATAGCACTTCATAACCACTCTGATAGTGGTTATAGGCAGGAGTAGATAGAAGGTGATAGATTTAGGGGTGGGTAGGATACATTTGTGTTGCTGCCCCAGGTGGATTCTTTTTCATCTTGATTAGAGCCTGTGCTCTCAGGTTATGACTTCTAACTTAAGGCAATGCGCAGAACTTATTTTCATGGAAGTTCCATAAAGGCTGTTAGAAATCAGCAAGAGGTTCTTCACTATGACAATGCATAGCCCTTAAATTCCATGTTTGCCTGATATCTCATGAAATATGGACATAGTGAAGGGAGGGGATGCCATCCAGAAGGACCTTGACAGGTGGGCCCGGGCAAACCTCGTGAAGTTCAACCAGGCCAAGTGCAAGGTCCTGCACATGGGTCGGGGCAATCCCAAGCACAAATACAGGCTGGGTGGAGAATGGATTGAGAGCAGCCCTGAGGAGAAGGACTTGGTGGTGTCAGTTAATGAGAAGCTCAACTGAGCTCACAGCCCAGAAAGCCAACCACATCCTCTTTTTTTTTTTTTTTTTTTGAGAGAAGGAAAAGTTTTTAGTACTAAGGAGATGTCAAGGCTGTATTTGAAAGTGACTTTATTTTCCAGTTTAAGATTGTAAAATTAATTTCTTTGCCAACGTGCAATACCAGGATGACTGGGCAACCTGGAAATCCACAGAGTTGAAAGTTTAGCTCTGGGAAGAGCTAGTACGTGACAGTCTGTAACGGGAACTTCCTGCACAAATAGTCTGTAGCAAGTGTTGAAAGAGAACACTTCTTGATGTGATCAATGATGACGTATTTGTCTATAGGTAAATACTCTAGACGTTTTATCCACACACTTTATATTAGAAATTTGAATATTGTGGTTTTAAACACTCTCTGCTTGCAAAGAAAAAGAGCAAGGTTGCTTTGGATTACCTGAATCGAATATATTCTAGGTTTAGCAAAATCCTTCTTTCACCAGATACTCCTCCTGTTTTTAACTGCAGAGTTGGCACAGTGTCTTGGCAGTTTTTGGGGCTGAGTGTGCAGCTGTAGACATCCCATTGCTGCTCTGCCAGTGTTGTCCACCTCCTTTCTCCTGCTTTTGTCACAGTGGGTGTTTTCTGGCACTGCAGTGATGATACAGGGGAGCGAATTGCTGTGTCTCCACAAGTTTGGGGCAAGTAAATGGGCTGTACAAAACTAGCTTTTCTGGCTCTTTTGCAACTCAAACTTAGTCCATGATGTGGGGCAGAAAAGTGTATTGTGTCTGTGGTTCCGTATCCTGCTTTTATTAACTGAGTTTTTTCATCTCTTGTGACACTGGCTTCTTTCTTTCCATTATGGATAGCTGTGTATTTCTACTCATCTGTGGTGGCTTAGCTTACTTGTAGGTTGATCCCAAGCTACCAGGGTTGCAGAGGGTTCTATACTGTTTGAGCTTAGCACCAGGTGCCTCCCTAAGACAGCATCATACCTAGCTACTTCCCACGGGAAGCAGTTCAGCTCTCCCTCCTCTCTGTGGTTTCAGCTTTGGTTCCCAAATATTTTTTCTTCTCTGTGGAGATGATACCAATTAGATTGAATGGGGCTTAGCCAGGGAACTTAATTTAACATACCAAGCACATGAAGATAGGGGAACATAGCACTTCATAACCACTCTGATAGTGGTTATAGGCAGGAGTAGATAGAAGGTGATAGATTTAGGGGTGGGTAGGATACATTTGTGTTGCTGCCCCAGGTGGATTCTTTTTCATCTTGATTAGAGCCTGTGCTCTCAGGTTATGACTTCTAACTTAAGGCAATGCGCAGAACTTATTTTCATGGAAGTTCCATAAAGGCTGTTAGAAATCAGCAAGAGGTTCTTCACTATGACAATGCATAGCCCTTAAATTCCATGTTTGCCTGATATCTCATGAAATATGGACATAGTGAAGGGAGGGGATGCCATCCAGAAGGACCTTGACAGGTGGGCCCGGGCAAACCTCGTGAAGTTCAACCAGGCCAAGTGCAAGGTCCTGCACATGGGTCGGGGCAATCCCAAGCACAAATACAGGCTGGGTGGAGAATGGATTGAGAGCAGCCCTGAGGAGAAGGACTTGGTGGTGTCAGTTAATGAGAAGCTCAACTGAGCTCACAGCCCAGAAAGCCAACCACATCCTGGACTGCATCAAAAGAAGCGTGGCCAGCAGGTCAAAGAAATGGTGCCAGTGCTCTGCAATAAAATCCACTGAAAAAAGGTCTTTTCTTTTGTGAGTGGGTTATTGATACTATACTTTCTCTGCCTGTGAGGATTCTGTGAGAAAACTGTAACTGGGTAATTTAATTAGCAGCTGCCAAAGAGCAGTTGGCTACAGGTGATTCCTTGCATGATTATAGAACCTGTGGCCTGTATTTTCCAAGGTGGTCTGTTGTCTCGTGACCCTTACAATTCAGGCACTTTAATGCTTTCATTTTCAGACTGACAGATGGAGATGCAGCACAGTTAAATGAGTTGCACAGGGCTGCCTCGTGCTTGGCTCTTTCTGCTCTCAAGCCAGAGAAATATGGAGGGATAGTCATTGGAATGGTGATCTGACTTTATGGTGTGGAAACTGCAAGGTAACAGCCATTTTTCAGCTAATAAGATTCTGCTTTTTGCTGGCTTTTCTTCTCAGTGTGATGGGAGAGCTAAG